CTCTCTCTCTCTCTCTCTCTCTCTCTCTCTCTCTCTCTCTCTCTCTCTCTCTCTCTCTCTCTCTCTCTCTCTCTCTCTCTCTCTCTCTCTCTTCTTCTTCGTCATCATCATCATCATCAGTTATTATCATTATCGTTATTGTTGTAGTAATAATAGAATTAGTCTTTTCTTATTTGTTTTTGCTTTTACCTTTGACAAAAAATAAATAAAAAGATAAATAAAAATAAGTAAATAGAGATAACGAGAGAATTGGAGCAGGACTTTTGAGAAAAAGGAAATGGAAAAAATATGCAAATGACATGCGTATTTTCCATCTATCTTCCCCTTCTCTTCCTTCCTCTTCCTCCTCCTCCTCCTCTTCCCTTTCTCGTTATCTTTCTCTTAATCTTTCTCTTAATCTTTCCTTCTTGGTTCTATATTTTAACTCTTCTTCCTCATCTCCTGTTTTCTTATATTTTCACTTTTTTAAGCTTTCATCTTTTCTTCCATAATTATTATAATTTTCTTATTTTCGTTGTTTTCTTTCATTCTTCTTCTTTATCATTCTTTTCCCTTTTCTCTTCTCTTCATTTTCCATTTAGGTTTTCCTTTCTTCTCCTTTCCTTTTCTTCTTTCCCTTTCTGCATATCTTTCTTTCCATATTTCATCTCCTTCTCTTCCACGTTTATCAATTTCTCCACTTCCCTCTCCCTTCCTCTCCCTCCCTTTTCTCTCCTTCTTCCTTCCTCCTTCCCTCTCTTCTCCCCCTCCCCTCCTCCTCGTCCCCCAATGTCACCTTCCCCTCCCCCCCTTTCCGCTCCCTTCTACCTTTTCCTCCCCCTCCCCTCCCCCCTTTCCTTTCCCCTTCCCCCCTCCCACCTTTCCCTCTCCCCTCCCCCCCTTCCCTCCCTTTCCCCTCCACTTCCCCCCTCCCTCCCTTTCCTCTACCCTCCCCTCCCCCACCTTTTCCCCTTCCTCACCCCTCCCCCCTCCCACCTTTTCCTCTCCCCCTTCCCTCCCCCTTTTTACCCCCCTTGTCACTTCGCCCCCTCCCCCTTTGTCACCTCCCCCCCCCCCCAGTACCTTACAATGGCCAATCAGCATGCCATCCTTTCCCCATCTCTCGGTGCCTCATCCCGCACAGTTTGTAGGATTTCCGCCAATTAAAAGAGACTTTGGTGCCGACTTGAGTAAAAGAGCGTGAGTGTGTTTGCGTCTGTGTATGTTGTTGTAAGTATGTGCGTCTGTGTTTGTTGGGTAATCTTGTGCAATTATGTGCGTAGGAGGTGCCTGTGTTTATGTTTGTGCGATATCTTGTCTGTGTTTATGTGTGTGCGTTATCTTGTCTATGTTTATGTGTGTGCGTTATCTTGTCTCTGTGTCTGTTTTTTTTATGTGTTTGTTTCTGTGTGTGTGTGTGCTAGGCTGATTGACGTGAGTGTTTGTTGGTGCTAAGTTGTAAATACTTTCATTTGTTTAGTAGCATTACAAGTTAGCAGTTGCAATATTATTTGCGTCTAAGCTGCAGTCGTATTGAAAGGTAACATCCGCCACTTATTGTTGCAAGACGGTTTGCAATGCACGCAGTATACTGTACCTATTGTTGCAAATCTTCTATTTGGACCTCCGGATGTTTATCGTAGCAATTACGTTATCAAAATGACTGACATGCTTCTGACAGTTCAATAATAGTTACATATTCTTCCTTGATATAAATGCGTTTACTCTTCATATGAATAGAAAAATTAAATCATTGCAATAACTACATAGATAATCATACGGTTAAGTAATCAAACACGCAAAATAGATCACAACTCGAATAACTTATCAACGAATTACGTAACACGAATGATATAAATACAGTCAATAAACACACACACACACACACACACACACACACACACACACACACACACACACACACACACACACACACACACACACACACACACACACACACACACACACATCTAAATCTCTTATCTCTCACATGGTTAATGAAGCCTCCTTTATTAAATTATTTCATCTGATTTTAATAATGTGATAAAGATAAAGAAAATTAGACTTAGCTAAATGGCCTTTAGTGTGGGTTGTGAATGTTTTCTGCGTGTGTGTGTGTCTGTATGTGTGTGTGTGTGTGTGTGTCTGTCTGTCTGTCTGTCTGTCTGTCTGTCTGTCTGTCTGTCTCATTCTCTCTCTCTCTCTCTCTCTCTCTCTCTCTCTCTCTCTCTCTCTCTCTCTCTCTCTCTCTCTCTCTCTCTCTCTCTCTCTCTCTCTCTCTCTCTCTCCTTCTCCCTTCTCCTTTCTGCATTCTTCACTCTCCCTCCCTCCTTCTCCCTTCTTCCTTCCTCCTTTTCCCTATCCCTCTCTTCTAATTCTCTTTCCTTTATTCATTTTATTCATATATTCTTCTCTTCTCCCCCTTTTTTTAAGGAAGAAAAGAACCTATGTATTTTTTTTTCTTCTGTTTAGATTTCCATTGTCTGTGTAGGTAGGTGACAGGCAGAAATAAGATTTTGATCGATATGCAGACAAAAGAAAGGCCTAGAGAGGAAAATAGATGGGTAGTTGTCAGAAAAGTCTTTTGTGTGTGTAAAGGGGGGAGAGAGAGAGAGA